CATAAACATCAACATAGTTGAAACATACCAATATGTAAACAATATAAAAACAAAATGAAAACCTCTACTTAATAAACATTGCATATAACATGATACTAGTTGGTCAGGACTTAAAATATTGTACAATCATTAGATTTACACATACATATTATAATAGTACAACTAACACACAAAAATGGTAAATATTTAACCTAGAAATACTTTTTATTGGTTTGTTTTTCTGATGCTGCTAAAAGAGGAATCAATAAGTGGTATACTACAGTAATTTACTGTATATTTACTTTAATAGGTTCATGGTTGGCATATCTTGATGTGATGACCAGATCAATTGTGTTACATTATCTATGAATTTGTATTTCTTAATAATTTACAGCATTATAAACGTGTGAAAAAACCTGGTAGAGATGCAAGTTAAGAATCATTTAGGGGGAGAAGGGTGAAAAATAAAGGAATAATAAAGGGGAAAAAGAAAAGGGAAGCGGGAAGGGATGGAGAAGGGAAAAGGAAGGAGGGAAAGAGGAAGGGAAGAAGAAAGGAAGTGGAGAAAGGGAGGGAAGTATCATTATAGTCTCAGAATTCTATGAACTACATGGAATCTGCTCTCTTTACATTAATATCACTTTAAGTTAGAATTGATGACAATTATGCTGTAGTAATTATCATGAGTTAACTGTGACCCTGAGAACCTGATATATTAAAAAATTCCTTTTAAAAATAAAAAACATTCAAATATTAAAAAATCATTTGGTTGGGGCCAGCGCCATGGCTCATTTGAATAATCCTCTGCCTGAAGCGCCAGCATCCCATATGGGCACCGGTTCTAGTTCCAGTTGCTCCTCTTCCAGTCCAGCTCTCTGCCGTGGCCTGGGAAGGCAGTGGAGGATGGCCCAAGTGCTTGGGCCTGCACCCACATGGGAGACCTGGAAGAAGCTCCTGGATCTGGGCTTTGGATAAGTGCAGCCCCAGCCATAACAGCCACGAAAGGAAGACCTTTCTCTCTGTCTCTCTGTCTATAATTCTACCTGTCAAATAAATTTAAAAAAATCATTTGTTTATAAAAATTTGTATTCATAATACATAACATACAGCCATATTTATAAATTACACTCATAAATGAAAAGCAAAAAAACAAGACTCACGATAATAAAATGGGCAGAGATGTAAACATGCTTGAGATCATTAATAGTGGGGAAATATAAATAAAAGCCACAAATAGATGCCATTTCATATCTGCCTAATGATTAGATTAGATTAAGATATCAAGAGCTAGTGAAGATGTGAAAGAGTAAAAATTCTCATATATTGTCAGGCTTGTGAAAAACTGTACAGCTAATTTGGAAAACTTTGGCAGTTTCATATACTTTTTACGATTTATTTTATTTATTTGAAAGAGTTAGAGAGAGAGGTAGAGACAGAAAGACAGGTCTTCCATCTGCTGGTTCACTCCTTAGATGGCCTCAATGGGAGGAATCTGTGCCTCAGGGCTCTGACACCTGGCCTTTGAAACATTTTGCCCTTTCCTGGGATGTACCTAAGAGGAGGCTGCATGTTACTCACAGAACAGCAGAAGGTGGCTTACCAAATCTTGAACTATGACTGTCAAATGATGAAAAAGAATGTGTGTGCATGATCTGTGAAATACAGTAGTGTGTTTTGCCATGATTTATGCCAGTGCTATATAAAACTGTAAAATCTTAGGGCTCTGTATTTATACAACATTAAGCCCCATGATTCGTGCCTCAAGCTTGACGGGGCTGATTATTCCTTATCATTACTCATTTTCTGTTGCCAGTGTATAACTGCGTTATTAATCACACATGACTTATCTGTTTCTTGATTCAAATCACTGTGGTATACCTGGTTCAGGTGACACAAATAGATTTTAGAATGGAAAGATATGTGAAACAGAAATTAAAGGATAGAAGAAAAATGAAAATGTTCTGGAAAAAAAATAAGTGAAAATGGATAAGTAAAAGGAGTGTTCTAATTTTTTAAAATAATCTCCTAATCTGTGTAAATCAGGAGGCAAATTAAATATTTGGAAAACTGCTATTTTATATTGTGCATCTTCTTTCAAAAATCACTGTAGAAAAAAATGGCTTTGACATACATTTGAGAAGCCCCTTCACTAGATGATCACTTAACACTGTGTGTACTACAATGAACATCTTGCTTCATTAATGTGCCTACAGAAAAACGCAAACTCCTATGAAGCCCTTGTTTCTGAGCTATGATCAATACAAGGGTCTAAGGTAGAAAAAGCATCAGCAGCAAAGGGAGAAATAAATGATGCCTACACTGTATGTAAGAATGGAACTACGGGGGCTGGCCCTGTGGCATAGTAGGTTAAGCCTCCACCTGCAGCACCTACATTCCAAATGGGTGCCAGGTCACATCCTATCTTCTCCACTTCCCATCCAGCTCCCTGCTGATGGCCTGAAAAGGCAATGGCAGATGGCCCTTATGTTTGGACTCTTACATCCACATGGGTGACCTGGAGGAAGTTCTTGGTTCCTGGCTTCATTTTGGCCAATCTCTGGCAGTTGCAGCCATTTGGTGAGTGGGACAGTCGATAGAAAACCTTTCTCTCTTTTTTTTCCCTCTCTCTGTAGCTCTACCTCTCAAATAAATAAAATCTTAAAAAAAATTGAATGATGACCACAATCTAGCAGGTAACCATTCTTAGAAGCCAATCCACATTTCTGCAACAGTTGGTTCAAAATGATCAGAACTTGGGCAATACCTTCCAGTTTCCTTATTTTTTACTTCCCTTTCCCATTAATTTTTCAAATCAGGATGAATTAGAGAAAGCTAACTATATGTCCTAAACCAAATGCATAGAATGTTGCATTTCTCTTTAGCCTAATTCCAGTTTTCCCACACCAACAACCTGTAGTCAGGACATTCGGGAAACACTCTGTCCTATCTCCTCTCTATAAAGTATTCCCACTTCCCTGTCTGCATTTGGTGCCCTGTTAAACAAAAGTGATACTGGCTAATACTGATGCTATATTAAGCTCTGAATAAATAGCCCATAATCGTTCTCATTTTGGTGGTCTTTATTTATTCCCACAAGGGACAAGCTAGAACCACAGATATAAACATACTCCAAAAATCAAACAGAAAATAGAATTAAAAGATACATTTATTTTGGTGCAAAAGCTTTTTGAAATCCATGAATTATAGTATCTCCTTCCATTCATTTCTCCCCTATTTATTTGAATGTGCAAGGAGGAGTGATAACTCAATAAAGATGACTCATAATAGCTAGTATGAAATTTAGGAGGAGAGTTAAAAAACTGAGTCAAGTAGTGTACTTTTTTTTTAAAGGAAAGTGTGCTAATTACAACAGACAGGGTAAGCAAATTCAAGAAAAGAGTAAAAGCTGGAATTAGCATTTGATAGGCCTATTGACTATGAAAGAGCAGTTTTAAGTGCAATGAAAGGGAAACAAGGCAGAATGCCAATTATGATATAATTCAGAAGTGGAGGGTCTAGAGAGTGGAGTAAAAGGCTAATCATCTGACTGCAGTGCCAGCATGCCATATGGGCACTGGTTCGAGTCCCAGTTGCTCCACTTCCAATCTAGCTCCCTGTTAATGTGCCTAGGAAAGCAGCAGAAAAATGGTTCAAGTCCTTGGACTCCTGTACCTACATGGGAGACCTGGAAGAAGCTCCTGGCTTTGGCCTGGCCCAGCCTCAGCAATTATGGCCATTTGGGGAGTGAACCAGCAGATGGAAGGTCTCTCTCTCTCTCTTTCTCTCTCTCTTTCTCCCTCTTTCTCTCTTTGTACCTCTACCTTTCACATATAAATAAAAAAATCTTTAAAAAACAAAAAGTGGAAAAGTGGGAACATAGACTTAAAAATATGCATAGGACAATAATTAGATATTTTAAATGGTAGATGTCAGAGAACATGGTTTTGGATGGTGGGGAATATAGGCTTTAGGTATTGTTATAGTAGAGGTGAGAGACAAAGGTATCTGATTGGAATGAATTTGAGGAGAAAAGACAGAAGATTATAAAGACAAGAATTGTGAAAATAATGCCTCTAATACTCAGACAACTCTTGTTCCTATAGGAGAATAAAACAGAGACACAAACTAACCAAGGGAAAAGTAAAATCAATGTTATATAAGGAAGGCACCTAGGCAGAATTCTAATTCGAATCCTTTTATATCATTTTAAAGAGTTATTTATTTGAAAGGCAAAGTGAAGAGATAGGGAGACACACACACACACACACACGCACACACACACACACACACACAGAGAGAGAGAGAGAGAGAGAGAGAGAGAGAGAGAGAATATCTTCCAATTGTTAGTTCCCCATGTAACTGCAATGGCCGAGGTTGGGTCAGGCTAAGACCAGGATCCCGGAACTCCATCTCGGCCTCCCATGTGAGTGGAATGGGCCCAAATACAAATCCTTGGACCTAACTTCTGCTGCTCTCCCAGCATATTAGCAGGGAGCTGGATAGGATGTACACCAGGTGATACCTGAATCGGTGCTACAATATAGGATCCGAACATTGGTATCTTAACCCAATGCACCACAATGCCAACCCCAAAGTACATTGTTTAAGACATAAAATCAAAAAAGTTTATAAACCCATGGATTAAACAGGCAGACATGGTTGGGGGTGGGGGTCACTAAAGATATATTGAGTCACAGAATGCCAAGGAATAGAGTGCACTTTTTCCCAGCATTGCAGATTACTACCCCAAACTCTAAACTGCAGTGTTGGTTTCTAAGTTGTGTTAGACAAATTTACTCATTGCTGGTTAGAAACTGAGTTGACATTTTGAAGTAAAAGCAAACATACTTTAAGAAGCAAGAAAATGTCTCAGGCTGCTGTTCGGCCCAGTAGTTAAGATGCCATTTGGTTTCCTGTATCCCATATGGAAGTGCCTACGTTTGAGGTCCAGTCAACTTCTGGTCTCAGCTTCTTGCTCATGTGTACTCTGGGAGGTGACAGTTGGCAACTCAACTGCTTGAGTTCCGTCACCCATGTAGGAGACCCAGATTGAGTTTCCTGCTCCTGGCTTCAGCCCTACCAATTCAATTGGGGAGTGAAACAGGGTATGGAAGATCTCTTTCTGTCATTCTCTTTCTCCAATAAAAATAGATTTTTAAATAAAATGTCTTAAAAAGAAGATGAAGTTAAATTAGAATCCCTGCTGTGCTATTTTATGTCAGTGTAATTTGGGGTAATCACTTAACAATTTTAAATCTCACTTTTTCTCCTAGAAAAGAAGACTAGCAATTTGAACTCTAAGAGAAGACAATGTAAGGGAAATTATTAACATATCATTTGATTCAAAACTGTTTGTGAAAATGAGAGATTACTTCTATTCTGATAAAATGTACTAATGCTGTTAATTTGGTTACTGCTTTTATACAAACATGTACATGTGTATACAACCACATACATATATTTATCTCAACAAGCAGGTAGTAAGGTAGGACAGGAGTTGTTATCTCCATTTTATACATATACAAGTGGATATTGAAAGTAGAGTGATATAAAGCAATTTGCCTAGGATCTGATATTTAATAATAAAAGCAGAACTCAAAGCCATAACTTCTCATTTCCTGAGATCTTGGAAGCCTTAGATTTGTTGATATGCTTATGAGATCACATTCTTCTAAGAAATTAGGGTATTTTCTCAATGGTTCCAGAAAATCTTCATTAACGTACAAAGAAATAGAGTCACAACCAAGGACCTCTGCTTAGAAATATTTATCCCTCAGACCAGTCTTGAACATCTTTCTGTAAATCAGAGCTCAGAAAGACATTTAAGGACCAACTGGTCTCTCTCTCATTTTGCATATGATTAAAAAATCCCCCAGTGTCTAGCCAGAGAGCTCCTGGAGCCAGGTTGCCTATCCAGTAAACATATCATTATATAAGCTGTGTATTATTTGTCAAATGTAATGTAGAAAATAGGTCCTGCTGAAATAATATGCCAGAGAAATAACTGACAAGAAATTGAGTAATGGTGTCTAACGGGAAAATTCTATTTATACTTATAATTTTAGATACTTATTATCCTTGTAGATATTTTCCATCTCTAAAAGAGCTTCTTTTCTATTAACCACTATCATTTAAGGTGCATTTATTCTTGACCTATAAACATTTTGCTGACATAAGCCAGCCATGTATTTTTAAAAAGATAAATGCATAGTGACACTAACTAAAGCCATGTAAAAATTTCTCACAAATATCTCTTAACTTGCATATTCTATTACTGAATTCACAGAACACTTATATAAAGCAATTAGTAATATTTCTATAGTTTACAAATATGTTAAACATGAATATACAATAGTTTATTAGTAAACTTAAAAAGTAAGTATTATGGCAGAATTTCATACCTTGAGTATTTCAGCACACTTAAGATACAATTTATGGGGCCAGTGCTGTGGCATAGTGGAGAAAGTTGTGGCCTGCAGTGCCAGCATCCTATATGGCGCCAGTTCGAGTCTTGGCTGCTCCACTTCCAATCCAGCTCTCTGGTATGGCCTGGAAAAGCAGTGGAAGATGGTCCAAGCCTTGAGCCCCTCCACCCAGATGGGTGACCCAGAAGAAGCTCCTCACTCCTGGTTTCAGATGGGCTCAGCTTCGGCAATTGGAGCCATTTAAGGTGTGAACCAGTGGATGGAAGACCCATCTCTCTTTCTCTTTCTCTTTCTCTTTCTCTCTGCTTCTGCCTCTCTGTAACTCTTCCTTTCAATTAAATAAATAAATCTTTAAAAATATAATTTGTAAGAATAACGAAGTTATATATTCTTCACTTTATTAACCCAGTAGATTAGAGCTTCAAGTATATAGGAAGTATTTGAGAACATACTAATCATATGCACAGAATATGAAGACCAGTTACTTGCAGTCCAGAACTTAAATGTTTTCTAAAAACGGAAAGGAAATTTTTTGAAGGCTAAAATACAGTGGACTATAGGAAAAAAAATGAAAGTTACTAAAAGAATGTAAATTCCAAGGAAGTAGAATTGGCTTTAATTTGAAAAGATAAATATATTAGCGAAAACTGTAACATGTACTAGACTAGTTCCCTTACCTCAAAAGCAAAAGGAAATAAGGTAAACATGGTTGTATCCAACTAGGCACTATTTAGAAGAGACAGCCAGTGCAAGCACATAACTTGTGCTGTCCCAAATAAGGCATATGGTTACTGGGGACATAATATATGCTCATTATCAAACCTATATCATGCTATTGAGAGATTTTTGAGAGGAGACTTGGAAATCTTTGATAAGGACTGGACATTCATCATAATTCTCTGGAGGAAATCTGCAGTGACAATTAAAACTAAAAACGCGATTCAGATAGATAACTGTTGAGCTGCCTAGGTAAGTGGCCACCCATTTTATTATGGTAAAGATATATATTAAAGCAGTCACTTTTGATTTTTTTCATGTTGTATGTAGCATAAGGTTTTTCAGATAAAATACTGATAGAGGAAATCTTACCAACACAGTTTTCTCATGCTTTGGATCCAAATTCATTAAATTCTTAGAAGAGATATCTAGGATGGGAAAATTACAGCAAGTAAGCTAAGATTTATGGTTGCCCAAATTAAATTTTCTTAAGGGACTCACACTTGAATTCAGTTACAGTGATATGACATACCACATAAAAGAGCATACAGCCATTCATTTGCCTTCTTTCTGGGGACAAAGCTCAGAGTGAGCTCTTGGAAAAAAATAACACTCTCATAGCATAATGATTCCTGAGTAAACGTTTCATAAACATTTCAAAACCAACACAGAAAGTTTGAAGTAAGATGAAATGATAATTGAGGAAATAGGAATCAACAAATCTTTTACACAAATCAGTAGCAGGTCCTGTTTGTAGAGTCCAGCAATTTTCAGTCCTCTTTCTCCTTCAGATCTCTGTACTTACTCAGAACAGTTGACCTGGTATTATTTCTTCTCCCAATTCGGTGGAATATCTATTTTTTTCCATGATTCTTCATTATACTGGCTCTCCTGAAGGCCTATGGGTAGTTCATTCCTTGATTCTATGTCAGTTCTACATTTATCATCTAATTCTTGAAAACCAGTAAGAATCTTTTCACTGCCAGTAATTTATTTTTCCTTTGAGAGTTAATACAATGAAGTAGAATGAAATGATGTAGGTTTTATATATGTATATTATATCAATTATTATATATAGATTTCTAAATGCATACATATATATGTGTGTGTATATCTATATATATATATATATATATATATATACATATGGTGGGTGAAAAATACAAACTAAATTTTTACTTATTTAAATTTCATTCTGGGCATAAATGTAAACTGTTTGGACAAAACTATTTTTTTTAAAGATTTTATTTATTTATTTATTTGAGAGGTAGAGTTACAGACAGTGAGAGGGAGAGACATCGAGAAAGGTCTTCCTTCCATTGGTTCACCCCCCAAAATGGCCACAACATTCAGAGCTGTGCCAATCCGAAGCCAGGAGCCAGGTGCTTCTTCCTGGTCTCCCATGCAGGTGCAGAAGCCCAAGCACCTGGGCCATCTTCCACTGCTTTCTCAGGCCACAGCAGAGAGCTGGGTTGGAAGAGGTGCAGCCGGGACTGGAACTGGCGTCCATATGGGATGCTGGCGCTGCAAGCAGAGGATTAACCTACTGGGCCACAGCACTGGCCCCCCAAACTACATTTAAACTCGTCTTTCTTTTTTGCTAATCTACCTATGCCCTTAACTGCATGCATTTCAAAATAGGGTAGAACAGCAAACTAGTTTGGTCCTTGAGAATTGCTACCAAATTTAGCTCTACACTCTAATTCTTAATCTCAGAAATATTTTTAAGCTAAGAGGTTAAAACCTATCCAATTGATTTTACTACTTCGCTCATAGCTTTTCTTCAGTTTCAGTTCTTATAACACTATGTACTGAAATTAGTTCAGGTTCTCTTGCTGAGTTCTATGTATTCCTTTACAGAGCAACACTGACACTTTACACTCTCTATTAACAGAACCCTGTGTCTGTTATTTGGAACCAGATGTTAGAGGACGTTCTGGAGGCCTTTAACCACAATGATTCAGTCTTATATCCAAGTATCACCTGCAGAACACAGTCTGAGACTGAGAAGATTCTGTACTTACAGAGCTGCTAAAATGAAATCTGTACCTGAAGCTTTCCACATAATTCTGTTATTAAGATTGAGATTCAGTCATGCATTTATTCCAATTTTCCCATCAAAATGTCCTGACAAAACATAGGAGATAGCCTATGCCCTTTCAGGGTGAGCCAGAGCAGAGTCTAGAGCAGCCCAACACCAACAATGTATCTTAGAAGTCCTATATTTTATGTTAAGATACTTTGGAAATTTGCATTGTACTCCATAATGTATTTCTCTGTTGTAGGATATTTTTAATTATTCTGCATTGAGCGAAATAGGGTATACAGGCAGGCAGTTGTGTTTCTATTAACACAGTGTCATATTCCCTTGGACTTATGAGCACACTCTAGAAGCCCAAGTTGATGGCCACTCCATTGAGAGAGATACTATCAAAATCTCATTGCAAGAAGTCTTTAGAAAGAGATATTGTGAAAATATATTATTGTTGAATAACACTAAGTTCTACAGATATTTTTTGGTGAAGTCAAACTGTTTACAACAGGTAAGAGGTTCCCCCCCTCCAAGGGCATTCTTTCTAAGAAGGATAATATGAATGTTTAAAAACTTTCTTGTCTTTACTAAACTAACATATTCTTTTGAATCACTATAGATAAAATGAGATAAGCCAATACTTCCTGATCCCCAAGACTGCGACTTTCAAATCGATCCAAAGTTCCTGAAATTATTCTTATGAAGATCTGAATGCCAATGACAGTACATATCACCCATGACACTGAGCTAAGTAAGTCACCTGACAGCAGGAGTCTAAGTCTTTGCTTTTTAAACATTCCATTGTTTTCTGCATTCAAAATCAGTGTTTCATCGAACATGCTATTATTTGTAGACATATTATTCTTTCAGAAAAGATCTAGTAAGCATGAGATATTCTAAATATTTAGTGTCATTACAATAAAAGGATACCCATTCTCACCACTGCTATTCAATATAGTCCTGAAAGTTTTATCCAGAGCCCTTAGGCAAGAAAAAGAAATCAAAGGGATACAAATTGGGAAGGAGGAAGTCAAACTACCCCTATTTGCAGATGACATGATCCTATATATAGGGAATCCAAAAGATTCTACTAACAGACTATTGGAATTCATAGAAGATTTGGTAAAGTGGCAGGATATAAAATTAACATACAAAAGTCTATAGCTTTTATATACACACAACGCCTGGAATGAGAAAGAATTTCTAAGATCAATCCCATTCAAAGTAGCTACAAAAAAATGTAAAAAACTTGGAACAAATTTAACCAAGGAGGTAATGAAAATTACAAAACATTAAAGAAATAAAGAGAAGACAAAAATGGAAAAATCATTCTTGTTCATGGATTGGAAGAATAAATATCAACAAACTGTCCATATTACCAAAAGCAATTTATAGATTCAATAGGATCTCAATCAAAATACCAGCTATATGGAAGCTCATGACAAGAGCCTCGGGTGATTACTGACGTCATAAATAAGAGTGTCAATTGTTAAATCAACAATGGGAGTCACTGTACACTTTCTCCCCAAGTAGGTGCTCTGTCCTTAATATATGTACTATGCAAATTAACAGTAAAACTACTACTCAAACAGTACTCTATACTTTGTTGATCTGTGTGGGTTCAAAAAAAAAAAAATACCAGCTATATTCTTCTCAGATCTAGACAAAAAATGCTAAAATTCATATGGAAATATAAGAGACCGTGAGTAGATAGAGCAATGTTATATAACAAAAAGAAAGCTGGAGGCATCAGATTTTAAGAAATACTACAGGGCGGTTATAATTAAAATAGCCTGTAACTGGAAAAAAAATGGTTATGTAGACCAATGGAACAGATGTAGAAACTCCAGAAATCAACCCATGCATCTATAATCAACTTGTTTTTGACAAAGGAGCTAAAAATCAATCCCTGGGGCAAGGACAGTCTCTTCAACAAATGCTGCTGGGAAAACTGGATCTCCATGAGCAGAAATATGAAGCAAGAGTGCTACCTTACACATTATAAAAAATCCACTCAAAATTGATTAAAGACCTAAATCTCTGATCCAATACAATCTAATTACTAGAGAATATTGGAGAAGCTCTGCAAGACGTTGGCATAGGGAAAGATTTCTTGGAAAAGACCCCAGAAGCATAGGTGATCAAAGCTAAATTTTGCAAATGGAATTATATCAAGCTAAAAATCTTATGCACTGCCAAAGAAACACTCAGCAAAGTGAAGAGGCAACCTAGAGAATGGGAGAAAATATTTGCAAACTATGCAACTGATAAAGAATCCATAAAAATCGCAAGAAACTCAACAACAATAAAACAAACAATCCAGTGAAGCAATGGGCAAGGACTTGTACAGACATTTTTCAAGAGAGGAAATTCAGATGGCTAAGAGATACTTGAAAAAATGCTGAGGATCCCTAGGCATCAGGGAAATACAAATCTAAACTACAATGAGATTTCACCTCATCCCAGGTGGAATGGCTCTCATACAGAAATCAACAAATAATAAATGCTGGCAAGGATGTGGTGGAAACAGCACCCTAATCCACCATTGGTGGGAATGTTAAAACTTGTGTAGTCACTTTGGAAGACAATATGGAGAAACCTTAGAAATCTCGATATAGACCTACCATATGACCTAGCTTCCCACTCCTGAGAATAAACCAAAATGAAATGAAGTGAGCATTTGTCCATTGCAGCTCAATTCATAATTGTTAAGATATGGAATCAACCAAGATGTCCATCAACTGAAGACTGGTTAAAGAAATTATGATATAGATAATCACTATGGAGTACTACTCAGCTGCAAAAAAAAAATGAAATTCTGTCATTTGCAACAAAATGGATGCAACTGGAAACCATTATACTTCGTAATATAAGCCAGACCCAAAAAGACAAATACCATGTTTTCCCTGATTTGTGGTAATTAATAGAGTACATGAAAGGTAATATATAGAAGTGAAATTGACATTTTGAAATTTGATGATTATTTACAGCCCTTATCTTGACTGTTGAGGAAAAACTTTTTTTTCTTCACACTATTTGTTGAACTCTTTACTTTGATAGGGTTAATCATATGAGTATAAAGTTAACTGAAAAAAGATCCTTGTAAAAATTAAGAGTGGGAACAGGAGAGGGAGGAGAAAGAAGGGTTGGAGCACGGTGGGAGGGAGGGTAGGATGGAAATTATCACTGTGTTCCTGAATCTGTATATAGGAAACACATGAAATTTGTACATCTTAAATATTATTTAAAAAATATTGTTAAGGGGCTGGTGCCGTGGCTCACTTGGTCAATCCTCCGCCTGTGGCGCCGGCATCCCATGTGGACACCAGATTCTAGTCCCGGTTGCTCCTCATCTAGTCCAGCTCTCTGCTGTGTCCCAGGAGGGCAGTGGGGGATGGCCCAGGTGCTTGGGCCCCTGCACCCGCATGGCAGACCAGGAAGAAGCAGCTGGCTCCTGGCTTCTGATAGGAACAGTGCCGGCCATGTCGGCCATTTGGGGGTGAACCAATGGAAGGAAGACCTTTCTATCTGTCTCTCTCAATATAACTCTACCTGTCAAAATAAATAAATAAAAATATTGTTAAAATAATAACATATCCATGTTTTAATATTCTGAATAAAAGAAAACCAATGGTACTCTTCACTTGAGAAAACTTATTATATTATATACTTAGTAATGATTCAAGGCTTAAGGAACAATCTCATTTCTTTTAGATTTTAAATCAGGACCGTCAGGATACAAAATTTATTTCTATGGCAACTTCAAGCTAATACTTTAATCTTTCTAGTTCATACTCATTATGCTCTTTTCAATAGTATTAAAATAGATCGTATACCTCTATTGATTGAATTGACTAAATTTATGAGGAAAAACTTCAGTATTTTAAAGCTATAGTTTATAATCTGAAATTGGCAGAATATTATTATATAGGAATATGTCAATGGATGCTCAAAATTAACAAAAACATTTTAAATAGAGAATTCTAATATTCAGCATTTGAAATTGTGAGTTTAAAACTTCTCTGAACTTCTAAGAGCCAAATGATTTGCTCTATTTTGGGGAATCCCACAGGAGTCCCCAAAGAGTTACAGAGCACCATTAACCCAAACAGAAAAAGAAAAAACAAAACCAGAATGGAGTTACTTAAGCTAAGTAAAGCCAAAATAGAGTGACTTGAGCTAAGACCACTAAACACCAGGAGCTGCCTAGACCATCTATCAAGACAGACACAGGTGGTGAGGCCTGATAAGGACTGGGGGACACTACATCATAAAAAGAAGCCAACCAGCTGGCTACTACAAACTTCACTCCTGCTACTATACCATCATTGATCACACCTAGACACCAACATCTGGGTGGTGACACCCCAGAAGATGAGCTTGTGATCGGTGACACCCCAGGGCACCTTTACTGCCCACCTACCCCAGAGGGAGGATAAAATGACAAGTGTCACAACTGCTCTTCATCTTCTCAGGGATCATGGCTCAGTACAAGTAAAACTGCCCGAGTCTTCCTGACTGAAGCTCTGCTCACCACTCTGCTGGAGCCTATCTCACCTGGACCTCTGATCAGCCTGCTGCCAGACCTGACAGTGGAGCTGGACCAGACCTCTCATCAGGGGACCTCTCCAGCTCCTCGGCCTTGCCGTCCGTCTGGGAATTTCGAGCCTACTGCCCAGAGTGCCAGTCATCCCACGACTCCTTCCCGTAAGTGACTGTTCTGAGATCCGTCTCTCCGAGTGGTAACGGAGACTTTGGACTCTAAAGTTTGGACTTTGACTTCTTTGTGACTGTGAAACGAGCCTTGAAAACACAGCATTCATATTACACACTTAGCCATGAGTGTTTAGACTGGTTATGCTTTTATGCTTTTTATGCTTTATACTTATTAAGATTGCTAGGTACTTCTGAAAATTGCCTTATTCCTAGATGTGTGTTATGACCTATAGACTAATGAAATATTGAGTGATACTGACCTTTAGATGTGTACCTTATATATATATATATATATGGATATTGATCACTGAATAATAAATTATATTAAAAAGACTATCACAATTCTGTGTGATTCTTCCCCGTGCTCCAACACGTCACATTAGCCTTGTCGAGCTGTGTGACAAGTAGCACTCACTGGTAGCTTTGGGATCCGCAAGGAGGGAAGGCCTACACTTCCGGGAATGGAGAGGCCTACTTCCGGGGAAGAAAGTCCTTGTCAAGGTCCCTGTGGGTGCCTAAAGGTCAACCAATGAGGATCAGACCTGCCTCAACCTTTAACTCCCATGCCCTGAATCTATAAAAGGAGCTCTCCCAATCTCTGACGCGCGACTTCTCCGGCCCCAGCTCTGTTGCTCTGTTGGGACCGGGGAACCTCGCCCGGGAGCTGAACCCCAATAAAAGCCTGTGAATTAATTGATTCATCTGCCTGGGAAGATTTGTTACGCGCCGGACACCTTACACTGACAACATCTATGAAACTCAGAAATCAACAGTATATTTAACTATTTAAAAATGCCACTTCAGGATCACAAACGTTACACTTCAGGTCATCTAAAATATGTTTTTAATGCTGAGAAACTCATAGCAGTCCCCTAAGATCAGGAACAAGACAAGGATGCCATTTCTCAGACCACTTTTCAATACCAGAAGTCTTAGAAAATGTGATAAGAAAAGAAAAATAAATAAAATGGATAAATATTGTAAAGGAAGAAGTAAAAGTATATTTATTTATAGATGATATGATTGTCCATGTAAAAAATTTACAAGAAGCCATAAAAAGTCCTGGAATTAATAAATGATTATAGTAAAATTGCTAGAACTACTTTTAATATATGAAAGTCACTTTCATGCAAAAACAGAAGTGAACAAGAGTTTGAATTTGGTGGTTTCTAAATATAAAACCTGGGACACAGTCCTTGAAGAATTGATAAGCTAAATTTCATTAAAATTAAAATTTCTTTTCTTCAACAGACACTGTCAATTTCATGGAAAAACAACTGACGGACTGGGAAAAATATTTGCAAGTTGTATCTAATAAAAGCCTGTTTTACAAAATACGAAAGATATCTTAAACTTCAATATTAAGAAAACTGACAACCCAGTTAAAAAACAGCACAAATATCAAAGACAGCCTGTCAATGAGATGTGTAATATCAAATGAGCATATGAAAGATGTTCATTATGTTCTATCATAACCAAAATGCAAAAATAAACACCAGCAATAAATACTACTGCACACCTGTTAGATTGGGTATAACTGGCAAAACCAATGGGTGAAGAGGTAGAGCAACAGGAACTCTCATTCATTTGTAGTGGGAATGCATACTGGGGCAGCCACATGCGGAGACAGTTTGATGTTCTGTTATAAAACTCAATGTACTGCTACTATGGGGTTCAGAATCTGTGCTTCCTGGTATTTACCCAAAGGAGCAAACTTACATATGACTTATGTCCACACAAAAAAATCAGAAAAAAATGTTTATAAAACTTTACTTATAACTGCCAAAACTTAGAAGCAACCAACTTGCCCTTTTCTAACTATTTGATTAAATAAATGGTGGTACATCTAGACAATAAAATATTATTCCATATGAAAAGGTAACTAGCAATCAAGCCATGAAAAGAAATGGGAGAAAATTAAATGCATATTTCTAGATGATCGACACTATCGTGAAATAACTATAAGTCACGTAATTCCAATTATATGACAATGTGGGACAGAAAAATTATGGAAAAAATAAAGATTATCAGAGGTTTAAAGAATTTCTAGGGAAGGTGAAGATGAACAGGTGAAAAAGAGGGTTTTAATGCAGTGAAACAACTCTAAATAATATTATAATGATGGTACAGGTCATTACGAATTCATCTAAACCTGCAGAATATAGAGAGAACTCCTGTAACTCAACAACAACATCAATAACAAAAAACCCAAACAATATATTTTAAAAATGGCCAAAGTACTCAAATACAACTTTCTTCAAAAACATACACAAATCATCAGTAATCACATGAAATACATTCAATTTCAGTAATAATTGCAAAATTTAAAACAAAACTTTGAGAGATATCTCATCATATTTATTAGGATAGCTATAAAAATTGGACAGTAACAAATGTTGCCAATGATGCAGAGAATTAGAGTCTTTATTCAATGGTGTTAGAAATGTAAAATGAAAAGTGACAGAGCCACTGTAGAATGCAGTATAGCAATTTGACAGGACATTAAAAATATAATACCCATATATGCCAGCAATTTCACTCTGAAGTATAAACCCAAAAGAATTAAAGACAAGGTCACTGGGGATATATGTATGACCATGTTCATAGTCACAGTAACATTATTCATACTAGCTAAAATGAAAAAACAATCTAAGTGTCTACTGATAAATGAATACACAAGCAAAGTGGAGTATATGCATATAATGGAATGCTAAAGGAAATATTGCTTTTAAAAGCAAGGAGATTCTGAAGTATATGAAAACCTAGAAGAACCTTGAAAACATTATTCCAAGTGAAATAAACTAGTAACAAAAACACAAATACTGTATTATTTAATTTATATGAGGAAAATAGAGTAGCTAAAATCATGCAGCTGCAGAGTGTGAAAACAAGAAGTTATGGTTTCCTTGGTACCAAATTACAGTTTTACAAGATGAAAAGGTTTAATGAAGATAAGAGGTAAATACTAAAGGTCATTATGAATGTATTTAATATCACTGAACTATACACTCAAACATTAAGACAGTAAACTTTGTTCATGTATTTTACCACAACCAAATAAATTTAAAAGGCTGTAGCAAGCACATGTCCATCAACAAATAAATGGATACACAAAATACTAAATACACATACACAAACATACATATCATATTGTGTATCTTACATATATATTTAAATCACAATATATGTGACAAAATTTATCACATTTAATTATATATGTGCTATAAATATTGCATTTTGATTATTCAGTCATAAAATGAGTGAAGTACTGATATGTGTTACAAAATGAATGAACTTTGAAATCATTATGCTAAGCATAACAAGCCAGACACAAGAGATCACATAGTATATGACTTCAATTCTATGAAACATACGGAATAAACCAATCCATGCAGACAAAACAAAGAGGGCTCTTAGCTTGGGTTAAGCAGATGGAGGGATAGGAAACAACTGCCTAATGGGTACAGGGTTTCCTTCCGGGGAAAGAATGCTTTGGAATTAGAGTTGGTTGTACAACACCATGACTGCTCTAACTGCCACTAAGTCGTTCGCTTACAAATGGTTAGTACTATGCTATGTGAATGTCAAAAAGAAAAGTATCAAGTTTTTAAAAATGAAAAAGAAGCATAATACTCACTTGAATGTCAAAGACCTGAGCTTTCACCTCAGGCTTTAATGCTTATTACTCCAGAAAATATCTTGTTCCCCAAACTGAGATGCAGTTTTTCTCTTTTTATTATTGAATTTTATTTTATTCTTAGCTAATACATAAAAATTGTACATATTTATGGGGCACACTGTGACATTTTGATTCATGGGCAAACTGTATAATTTTCAAATTAGTGAAAAATGTCTATTTCCTCATACATTGTTTCCTTATAGTAAAAACATTCAAAATCTTTTCTTCTGTATGTTCCTGTTTTTTTAGAAAATTATTACTGATAGTCTCCCTAATATGCAATACAAGAACTTCTTTCTCCTATCTAACTATAACTTAGTACTGATTATTTTCCTTCTGCCTCGGAAGTCCTCTGCCTTGTATACTTTATTGATCTGCTGTTTACCTCCATAGGAAATCTAGTCTGAACTCCAGGGTATAATAAGTTCTCTTGTTTTAAATCTCACACTGGTATGCATATATTTGAATAGCAGTTCTAATCACATTGTATGGAAATTATCTATTTGCACACTTATCGCCCAAAAATGCCTTTAGTTATTTGAAGGCATGGATTTTATCTTAGTTAAGTTTGCAATTACAGCCCTTCTACATTACCTGGTGTCTTAATTCAGGTTGCTAGAAGAGAATACCATAGACAAGGTGGCTTAAGCAAACACATTTATTTCTCATAGTGCTAGAGACTGGAAGTCCAAGATCATAGTGCCTGAGCACGGCTGGATTTTGTGGAGAGCCTTTCTCCTGGCTTGCCAAAGCCATATTCTTGTGGTATCCTTATATAGAGTGAACTAGCTAGCTCTGTGACCTCTTCTTCCTAAGAGTTTCAATGTGTTCATGAGTACTCCACTTTCATGATCTAATTAATCCCCAAAGATCCCCACTTCATAATACCATCATTTTGATATAGGCAGGCAGATAGGATTAAATAGATTAGAGCTGGAAGACCATGCCCCCTGTGTGATCTCAAGGCCCTATCTGACCTCATCTGGACACCCACCTGCCAATCAGACTACGTAATCACTCCTCTTTGGAAGTGGATAAAAGGCCTGGAGCATGGTGGGCCCCCACCTTGCTGTCTGCACCTCTGGGCATGGGGCCCTCTGGCTGCCTGCTCTCTGCTTTCCTGCCTGCATGCTTACTCTACGTGGCTCTTGGCCTGCTCTCTGCCTGGAATGGACCCAACCTATGCTTCTAGACTTTTTTCTCTCCTAAATAAAGCCCAAATTTTCCTATGCACAACTTTCACTGAATAAGACATTAGAAACTCACCATGTCACCTGGTTTATTTTGAGCCGATATTCAGAATTCTTATCTGAATAGATGGCAAGAACCCACCAATATTATTAATATTAAAATTATTAATAAGGCTGGCTGATATCAATACTGGGATTAAAGAGTTTTGGAGGGATACAGGTATCCTAATTGTTCTACTTGTGGTAGACAGGCAGTGAGGGAGAGATGGAGGGTGCAGATTAAGAGGGAGAAAGAGAATGAATAATAAAGACATAAAATATAAATCAAACAAGGGAGAAGTCAGGGATCAATAAATGTGAGTGTAAATACTGAGCTACCTGGTAGCAATTGCACGCCAACTGTTGCCTGAAAATCGTTACTTTGGAAGCAAATCTAAAAGCAGGTTTTCAGTGTCAACTGAATATTCCCTCAGAACTGTTATGGTAGTAATTTCATTTATTTCAGGTAGGAACTCTGAGTACCTTTGAACAATATACCATCAGAGATAAGATTCAAACAAGGAAAGGAAGTTTGGGTCATTCTTTTAGTAAAACTTATAGTTGGATTCTAGTACTTTCTAAATATATCAACTTATCTCACTCTTTTTTAGTTTGTGTCTATTATGGTTTGACCATTGTTCATCCTTTTATTTCTCCTTGGTTTTGACTGAAAAATTCAATGCAAACATACATTGTCCAACTAATAGTGAAAAAATCACTACCCTAAACCAGGATAAACAGAAATGATAAAGTATTTTGTAGCATATATAATTTAATTTTCTCCTTTCAATAATTAATTGTATTAGTTAAAGTTTA